ACCGGAAGCGTCTGACTACTCCGCCATCTTGGCCCCACCTCCTGTAAATCCAGTTTTCAAGGTTTTGTCCCAGAACCTTCTGATCAGTTCCAACCTACACCAGTTGCTCTCAAGGCCTGCTGTCCTGGGGTCTCCCTTCACTCCTCTCCCAGGGTAAAGCTCCTGTTTTCCATATTTCATGTCTTCTTTTACGGTTCACTCCCTTGTTTTGCTGAAGCACGTCCTCCACTAGCTTTTTGAGAAAGAGTAGATGGGAAGTGAATTTATTAAGACCATGAACATCTGAAAATATACTTAATTCTTCCCTCAGTCTTCACTGAGAGTTTAAGCAGGCAGAGAATTCTAAGCTGCAAATCATTTTCCTTTAGAAAATGCTCCATGGCTTTTTAGCTTCCAGTGTTGCTGTAGAAGAAGTATTAAGCCATTCTGATTTCTGATCTTTTGATGAGTGACCTATTTTTTTCCTCTCTGGAAGTTTACAGGATCACCTCTTTGTCCCCGATGTTCTGAAGTTTCATGATGATGTCTATTGGAGGGTCAGTCCATTTTCATTCATCAAAAGGACCTACTGAGTATCTAGCACAATATAGAAGGCCAACACTTCATTCTGTGAAACATTCTTAGAAAGATTTCATTGAGGGTTTCCTCTGTTTTCCCTGTTCTTGCTTTCTGGAGCTCCTTTCATCCAGATATTGGACCTTATGGGCTGGTCCTCTAATTTTCTTACCTTTTCTCCCCTGTTTCCATCTCACTGTCTTTGTGTTTCCATCTCACTGTCTTTGTGTTTCCATCCCACTGTCTCTAAGTTTCTTAGAGAAACTTTCTCAATATTATCTTATCAATCAGATTTAGCTTATAAATCAATTTTATCTTATAGATTTGATTTACAAATTCTATTTAGTTTCTCATTTAACTCAGTATTTTTAATTTCTAAGGGCTCATTTTTGCTCTCTGAAGGGTTTTTTAAGTATCTTGTTCTTGTCTCACTGAAATATCCTTTCTCAGACCTCTGAGATATACGTGATACAATTTTTAAGAAGATTTTCTTCTCCAAGTTACATTTTTCTACTTGTTTACTTTGGCCTTTGCCTTTCATGCTGGACGTCCTTTTTGCAAATGTCTGAGAACCCTGGTAAATTAGGGTGTCTCATAATTAGAAGTGGGGCATTAGAAGGCACACGGGGATATCTGAGCAGGAGAAGAAAGCTCGTCCACAGGAGGTTTCGCCACAGAGTGATCTGGTGCAGCTATTTAGCTGGGGACTGCCCTCCCCACTCAGTGTCAGTGCCTTTAGGTCTGTTTTCTTGGGCTGTTCAGAACTCCCAGAGAAAAGCCTTCTGACCTCCTGCCCAGAGGGTGTACCCTTGGCCGCAGTATCTGAGGATGAACGAGGAAGAGGTTTGGGCGGGGCAGGGGGAATTCAGGGACTCTGGGTTCCTGTTCAGCTCTCTGCCCTACACTGTGCCTTGCCTGTGGGTGCTCTGACACACTCTGTCACAAGCAGTGGCTCGCAAGCCTGAGCCAGTGTCAGAACCACTGCAGGACTTCTTAGCATGGACAGCAGGAGGTCTGAGCCTGAGCCCAAGAGTTTGCAGTTCCAGCACATTTCAGGGTGCTGCTGCTGTCTGGGGCCCCACCTTGACAATTGCTTCTCCAAGAGAACTAATCGTTAATTTTTATTTTTGTTGCGGGGTAAGGGAGGCAATAGCCCACTGAAGAAAGCTGGGTGGAAAATCTAGAAACTGTCTGTCCCTCAATTAAACTCTGGACCAGCCACCTAACCCTCCTCATTTCCGCCTGCAGTCTCCCTCCACTAGCACTGCCTCTGGTTCCCAGGCCTGCAGGGAGTTCCCTGCACAGATCAGATTGGCTCTTGGCCTACCCACTCCCAACTCAGAATCCAGCTTTCTGCAATCTGCTAAGTCATTCAGTCATTCATCCATCCACTTTCTAGATTTCAAAATGTTTGCTGTGTGTTTTCTCTTTCTTTGCAGGTTTAAGTCTTTAAAGACCACACTCCCCCTCCTCTGCCACCAGATGTGATTTTAAAGGTGTCTCAGGAAAGCGGGCGAGCGGACATGTGAGCTCATGAGGCCCTCACTGCCAGTGCCCATGGTCCTGGCCTGACCCTCCCACCCTCATGCATGGCCGCTCCCCACAGATGAAGTGGCTCTCTCTGCTTCTCTGCCCATGCCTGGCCACCCTGGCTTCCAGGCTGTGAGGGCCATGAACAAAAAACAACATAGATCCTGCCTGCAGAGCACTCTGTGAGAGAACCAGAGTACCTGACTAAACAGTGACCTGGGCCAGGAAAAAACACACCAAACACCTGACTCCATGGTAACGTCAATTGCAACCCATTAACCAGTACAAAAACAACACCATCCATTGTAGATTAGACATGTTTTTCCTGGGTCCCCTGCACGTATCCTTACGTGTAAGCACAAGGTGTATAAATGCATACCCTGCATCTTGGTGCCAACCTCTGTCTGTAAGTTCCCTAATAAAACTACATCTCATCAACCTGGCTTTTTCTACCTCTTTTTTGGAATCTGACCTGTGCCCCTTGAATCCACTCCTGCCGCTGGTCTGGTGGAGCATGACACTGGTGAACTCAGACCAGATGCATTCTTGAGGTTCAAGGAAAGCCCCTTCCCTTGGGAAGCGCCTCAGTGCTTCCCTTTGAGTGCCACAGAAGCACCTCCTCCACATCCTCCTGGCTGACCCCCTCCAGACTCAGGGCTTCCCTGGGCCTTGCTCACGCCCTTGAGGCCCAGGGCTGAGCATAGAGCTGGGAGGCAGGAGGTGCTTAACAAGCCTTCCTGGATAAATAAAGAAACTGGCAAAGGAGCAGGGTGCTGGCCTGTCATATCTGAGGCTAGCAAGGGGACCCTTCTGCGAGCCCATCACTGAGTAAAGAGTCACCTAAAAAGGCCCACACAGACAGCCCGAGGTGGGAGATGGTGTCGTGGCTGGAAGGAGGACTGGTGGGAAACAGAAAGTCAGGCCTTCTGACCTGAGGTGATGAACAGGCAGGATTCCACATGGTGGTGGAGGACTCTGGAAGGACCTGGCACTGCCACCACCTGGAGGGCGGCCCTGCGAGAGCACCTCTGCCCTTTACTTAGAGCTTTGGGTCCCACTTGCACCTGAGGAGTGGGATCCAGTGGGAGAAGAGTGCACAGCTGCCGGCCCCAGCCCCCTAGGCCACCACAGACACTGCCAAGCAGGGCAACCTTTGCTACTAAGCCTGGACTTGGCCCGAGAATCCTCAGCCCAGCACTCAGGCAGCTAGTGCCATCCATCAGCCTGGTACTGAGAGGAAATCCATTTGCTGTCCTGGGAAGAGCTGTCCAGGAGCCCTGTCTGCTCTAATGTGCTGGACTCCGGGGCTCTCTATCTGCCAGGGGCCTCAAGCAGCTGGCTCTGATGAGAGCTGAAAAGGGGGAGGCTGAGAGAATTCAGAAGCATGGGGCCACTGGAATGGGGAGAGAGCAGAGCAAGTCCTCTGAGGCCAGAAGCTGGGTTTCCAGCTCTAAGGGGCCCTCACGGCCGAGCCAGGAATGTTTCCTGTTCCACCCTGAAAGCAGGACGGGGTCTGGGGATGAAGAGAGCTCTGCTTCGGGCACTGTTTAGTCACATTTCTTACTGTGGCTTCATGTTCTGATCTACACAAGGTGGGTGGGATTATAAGGGTCCCAGTAAGTTGCTGGACATAGGTTTAAAAAAAAAACCAGAATTCTGAACACATTAAGATGGGAGACGCTGGGTTTGAGATGTGGAAAGAGTGTGTGAGTGTGTGCGTGTATGCAGGAGGGTGAACGCACACACACGCACTCACGCACATGTGCACACATGCACACATTTATGCAGATGCACACAGGCACACATGCGTGCAAAGGAAGGGGACCCGGCTTGACCCCAGACTCCACCACCAGGCCAGGGCAGAGAGCAGCATCCCCAGTATGACCAGGGGAAGCAGTACAAGAGGGTTGCTGCCCTCCCCAAATTGGATACCCCCAGAGGCAACATCCCTGCCTCTCTCACGGGATGTGGTGACAAGGACATGGAAGGAAGTGAGAAATGGCTTTCAGAATGAGAAGCAACACAGATGCAAGATGCAAATGTCAAGAAAAGAGCAGCCAACAGTCCCAACTCCAGATGACCCTGCACATGTCCTCAAGGGCGAGGCCAGAGGTCACCACCAAACAGGGAGCCAGAGGTGCATTGGTCTTTTCAGCCCGGCTGCGAGGAATGGCCAATACCCTCTTCATCAGCAGACAGGCCCAAGGGGCTCCCCGGCCCTGTGGCTCCCCTGGGGTCCCGACTGTGCATGGTGTCCTGGGGGGCTGGGCGCTCAGGGGTACCTGGCACTCCGGGCAGCACAGACCCTCCCCAGGCAGCACTCGCAACTGTGACACTGTCTAGACTGTGGAGCATGAACCAACCCCGGCTGTCACTACTTTATGTAACAATCACCCGCTCCCAAAGCTGCAGCTTGATTGACAGACCCGGAGCGTAAAGAAGTGAGGACTTCCTGGTGCCTCCTTCACCCCATACCTCCCAAGATGCAAGGGTGCCCCAGGCTCCAGGAAACGCTCTCTGATCAGTGAGAGATGGTGCCTGTTCGCATGGCATATTGGGTTTGCTCAGGATTAATCGGGCACGTAGAAACTGATAAATGGTATTAATTTGTTTCAGAGTCTGGAAAGATCTCAGCTGCTTGCTTTTTGGCTGAGGCCAAGTTCTTTCCTGCTGAAGAGACCTGTCTGTACACCCCCAGGGGAATGCCACAAGTCCTCTGGCCATGGAGACCAGGAGATGCTGTCACAGGCCCCCGTCACAGGCCCGTCACAGGCTTGGTGGCTCCGTAGGGAAACACGGATCTCCTCCCACAGCCGCAGCCATGCAGGTGTCACTGAGGACGGACAAGTGGATGGGGAGCAGTCGTCAGAGGTGGCCTGCCCACTGGATATCAGGATCCTGGGGGGAGTGCTTACCTGTCACCTCCTTGGCAGATGGCAGCCCCGCAGTGCCTTCGAGGTCGGCAGGGACAGCGCTGCCCTGCTCCAGGGCGTGCACCAGCTCACGCAGTCGCTCACACTCCCCCTGCAGCTGCACCTGGTCCTCACGGAGCCGCTGCCGGGCCGCACTGGCTGGGTTCATGCGCAGGTGCAGCACCTTGGTCCGGCTCTGGTTGTAGTCGCCCTGCAGAGAGACAGGCACCGGGTCACCGAGGCTGGTGACCAAACCCACACAGGAGAGAGCACACAGGGGTTTACAAGCCTGGTATCCACCCAGCCCTGTGTGTGGAGGGTCTGCTGGCAGCGGGGGCAAGTCTAGCACCAGGGTCCGGCAGCGGGTGTGGGCCTTAGCATCACCTACTGTCAGGTGCAACTCAACACTGAGGGCTCTGGGCTCTGCATCCATCAAGGGCAAAGCTGCTGCCACTTATCTGGCAGAGCTGTTGTGAGGAATAAATGGGGGTGGGGAGACAAAGAAGAGACCCCACGAAAGAAGCCAGACTTACTGGAGCCATTGAGACTGGAGGACTCCCCAAGACTACAGCCCCAAGACACTCCAAAAAGTAAAGGATGTCACACTTGAGTACTGTGCTCCTTTAAAAAATTACACACATGAGACCAAAAGGACAACAGTTACTCTAAACCACGGATGGGGAGGTCGGAGGCAGTGAGACGAAGTTAATGGGAATGGAACAACTACGAATAACGAGAATGGTGACACAAACTGAAGAACGTAACCAGTGTCGTCGAACATTAAAAACTGCTGAATGGGAACCTGTTTTTGCTACGTATACTTTCACCAACAATACAATAACATTAAAGAAAGAAAGAAAGGCCCCACTAACACCCTGCCTGCAACACTGATGAACTCAATACCCATGAGGCCCCTTCTCTTCACCTTATCAAATACCAGCTGTAAAACCAAACTGTGGTGGATGCCTGTTTAAAATGCGCCACAATTTTAAACACGCTGTTGGCAATATTCTCAGGTTCTGGACCCTGCTGCCATGTGCTATGGTCCCTGGGATGCCACATCGACCCTCGGTCTGAAACACCTTCAGAGAGGGGCTTCTGGACTTTAAAAAATAACAATAACCGTCATCCTTAGAAGGGCTTTAGGTTTACAGAAACTTTGTGAAGTAGTGCAGAGAGCTCCCACATACCCCACACTCAGTTTCCCATTATCAGCACGTTACACTAGTGTGGCACATCTGTTACAAATAATGAGCCAATGCTGATCCGTTACTATTATCTAAAGTCTATCCTTCCTTCAAGTTTCCTTAGTTTTTACTGAAGGCCCCTTTTCTGCCGCAGGACCCATCCAGGATGCCATGTCACATTTAGTCATCATGTGTCCTCAGGCTCCTCTGGGCTGGGACTCACTGTTAGTGTGGGAGTGTACAGATAAGGCAAGGAGACTAAAACGGTCCATGTGGTAACGGGTCAGAGTTGGAGACATCACTCTGAGGTCACGTTTAATTCAATACAGACACAGTTTGTTCACGTAGAAATACTTAGAGATATGTGCACATACAAGGGCTAATCTACACATATGTATTTCCTGCCTCTTTTAGCTGAGAGGACCTAGAAGCAACAATATCCTGATAACAATGAACACATCCAGCACTCAGATCTCTGTTTCTAAACATCATTCTCCAAGAAAAGAAACTAGCGTTCTTTGGAGGAGCCCCGGTGGTGCAACGGTTAAGCACCCAGTGGCTCCGTGGGAGAAAGAGCTGGCGATCTGCTCCCGTAAACATCACAGCCTAGGAAACCCAATGGGACAGTTCTACTGTCCCATGGGGTTTCTATGAGTTGGAATCGACCTGATGACACCTAACAACAATAACAACATGAATGGACACGACTTGGCCTAGACAACCATTGACTCCCCTTCTGCCTGACCACACGGAATTGTTTAAGAGGTGGATCTGCGATCGAAGCTGGACCAATCACAGCTTTTCCCTGAGATTTTATATTCAGATGCTGGGGAAGGGAAGCCTTCTCTTTCCACTGAGGGCTGCTGGCTGGGATGATGAGACTCTGAAGCTGCTGATGACGTTCTCATCTCTTCCCCTTCCAGCTTGGATGAAGCCCACCTGCCATGGCGGAAAGACAAGGTTAGCTAGACAGAGATTGAGAGTGAAGGGGGTCAGTTATAACTGTGGGTGTTTAATGAATGTGTGCTGAAGGGGCTAAAATTCACACGAAAGAAGTTTTCTTTAAACCAAACAATAGTTTAGCTTAATTAGTAAAGAATGTCTGCCTTAAGCATTGTGCTCTTTTAAAGGACTATCTATATGGGATCAGATTGATAACAACAACTCAAGAGGTTAGATACGAAGCTAAGGGGGCAGTGAGTTTATGTTAACATTGGAGGAATAATTTGGAAAAGGAGGGTAAGAATGGTTGCACAACTTGAAGAAGTGTAATCAATGTCACTGAACTGTATGTATAGAAATTGTTGAACTGGTGTATGCTTTGTGTGTATATTTTCAACAAAAATAAATAAAATAAATTATTTTTAAAAAACCCCACAGGGCCAAGACTAGCCATGGCAATCCTGAAGGAGAAGAACATAGCTGGAAGACTTACCCTACCAGATATCATGGCATAGGATACATCTGTGGTCAGTAAGCATGTAGACTGGAGCAAGAACAGACACACTGACCAACGGGACGTAGAGTCCAGAAACAGACACATCTATAGTTACCTGATTTATGACAAAGGACACATAGCAGTGCAGTGCGGAGAGGATGACTTTCTCAATAAATGGCAAAGGATCGACTGGAAACCCATTTGATCTTGACCTTGCCCTCACACCATACACAAAAACTAACTCCATGGAGAATGCAAATGTAAATATAAAAGGTAAGACAATAACATTTTAAAAGAAAAGAGACTATCTTCACGACTTTGCAGTAGACAAAGATTTCTTACACAAGATTCAAAACGTGCTTATCATAAAGGAAAAAATATATAAATTAACCGGACTGTATCAAAGTTAAGAACTTCTATTCATCAAAAGAGTGAAAAGGCAACTGACAGAGTGGGAGAAGATATCTGACAAAGGATTCATATCTACAACATATAAATAGCTCATAAAAATTAATAAAAAGTCAGACAATTCAATTTAAAAATGGGCAAAAACTTGAACAGATACTTCACAAAAGAAGATATACAAAGAGCCAATGAACACACGAGAAGGTGCTTAAATTTATTAATCATCAGAGCAAGAGAACGTCAAAAGTATACGAGGCATTTGGAATAAGTAGGGGACCCTGGCCCAGGCCTGAGAACAAACCTCATTTTAATACAGCAGTTTTTCTCTCCTGTGCTTAATCTTTAGTCATCCTTAAAAAAAAAATACCCTAAAGGAAGTATTCTTCTCTGTGGTCAAACAGAAGCAGGATGTCACAGCCTGTTCCCAGAGGGTCTTGACCACAGCATTATCAAAACATCTCCTTTACAATGGAACCCAGGAAAAGACATGCTTGAGAAAACAGTTTTAATAGCAGCTTCCCAGATCGGCATGTCGTCATTGTCCTGTGATTTCCCCGTGTACCCCCACCTGCACGTACTGCTGCAATCTAAGATAAATTGGCAATCACTGAAGCCCACCTATTTATTATTCCCCCAATCACTAACCAGCACCCCCCCGCACCCTGAGAAAGCCCACCTCTAACTTCCCTAATTTACTGAAAATTAATCCAGATATTGTAGGCCCATTCTTTGTCTAAACCCTATAAAAATATTTGTGTGATTACCGTGCCTTGGTTTCCGTGGTTTCATTTCCATATAGTGCCCGGTTCGAATCATTCTTTGAGCCCTTAATAAACCTTGCTTGTTTTAATCTCATACAGACTATTTCTTGATGCTACTACATTTCTGGTGTCAGTATATGTGGGATCCAAAGGTAACTTGCCTGCGACAACTCCAGGAGGGAAATGTGGAATGTCGGGCAAGGTCTCGATCCACTCCCAGCTCTTGGGGTCATCTCAGGGTAAGACTTTTGGGACTAAGGACCTCCACTTTCTTTTGCATTTGTAGTCCTCCAAGGTTTACTAACTGCCTTTTGTCTCTTTACTTTCCCTTTGGTATCAAACCTGTTTGATGGGTTCCTCAAGTATGTCCACTTTGAAATGCAGCTTGGCTCAGCCTGTGAACTTACTGTTTTCTCTAAATGCCCATTGAGGTTTTTCAGGTGCCTTTTCTCCTTTTGTAAAAGATTCCAGAGCAAAGGTTAACTGTTTTTCACACATGTGGTTGCTATCTTAGTGAACCTGGGGAGTGCCAATTAGCCACTGGCTGCATTCATTACAGGGAATTTAGTATTTGACTTAAACAAATTGAGTTCTCTGTGCAGCAGATGAAAATCTAGGGACCTCTAAATTAAAACCATCTTAGTTAAATAACTATTTTTGATTGTTTGTATTTAGATTTTTGTTTGAACTCTCTAAAACCAGTTTGTTAAATTGTTGTTGTTAGGTGCCATCAAGTTGCTTCTGACTCTTAGTGACCCCATGTACAACAGAACAAAACACTGGCTGGTTCTGCACCATCCTCACAATTGTTGCTATGTTTGAGGCCATTGCAGCAGCCACTGTGTCAGTGCATCTTGTTGAGGATCGTCCTCTCTTTCTCCGACCCTCTACTTTACCAAGTATGATGTACTTCTACAGGGACTGGTCCCTCCTGATAACATGTTCAAACTATGTGAGACGAAGTCTCCCAATCCTCGCTTCCAAGGAGCACCTTGGCTGTACTTCTTGTAAGACAGATTTGTTCGTTCTTCTGGCAGTCCATGGTATATTCGATATTTTTTGCCGACATCATAATTCAAAGGCATCAATTCTTCTTTGGTCTTCCTTATTCACTGTCGAGTTTTCACATACATAGGAGGTGGCTGAGAATACCAGGGCTTGGGTCTGGCGCACCTTAGTCCTCAAAGTGACATCTTTGCTTTTCAACACTTTAAAGAGGTCTTTTGCAGCAGACTTGCCTAATGCAATATGTTGTTTAATTTCTTGACTGCTGCTTCCATGGGTGTTGACTGTGGATCCAAGTAAAATGAAATCCTTGACAACTTCAATCTTCTCTCCATTTAACATGATGTTGTTGATTGGTCCAGTTGTGAGGATTTTTGTTTTATGTTGAAGTGTACTCCATACCGAAGGCTGTAGT